ATGAAAACCAGAATAAACCATATGCATAAACCCACTGTGTTTCAAGTCAAGGAGGAAGCCAGACCAAGAATCTGGGAGAAAGATTTGGACTGGCAAGGAGCAGACATCTCTCATTCACTTGGTCCCCACCCTAAAGGCCCCGGTCCCACCATTTGCCCTTCCATCTTCCATCGAAAGTGGCATTTGGATCTGAGCAGAAAACTCGGATGAATTAAAAATCAAACAATTTATTTTTGAAGCCGCAAGAACCACTCCATTCTTGGGGCTTTTTGACAAAACATCATCTTCAACTGTTCTGACCCGTGAGGAATGGCAGAGAATGTTATCTTCTGCTGGCGAACATCCCATCATGTGTAGGTCACCTGCTCGCCAAGGTCACTTGCATGGCTCCTTACATAAGCTAAGTCTGGTGGAAGCCTGTGTCCCTGGTTCATACAGCGTCATGGACCCTCATATTTCTTCTCTGAGTGTGCATATCAACAGAACCAGCAGGCGACAAAGGAACCAATCAGGAATAAGGAAGCCTGTGGGAGATGAACTTTTCATTCCGAGCTTAAGAAAATGTACAACTTTGTGGTTTTTTTTGTTTGTTTTTTTTTACATTCTAAAACACCATGTATAGTAATTGCCTTTTTTGAGGAATCCAGGGGAAATAACTGAGATCAAGAGTAGATAACAGTTGCTTGAACTACAGGGTGATGAATAATACTAATTTGAACTCACAGAGCTTTGACGGTTTATAAACTGCTCTCACCATTGATTCATTCATCACCCATTATCACCATGCCCTGGGGATGCCTGCCCTCAAGGAGCGCTATGTATTGGTATGAGAATATGCTTGCATACAAACGACTGTGAAAACATTGCTATCGTAAAACTGCAGCTGGTGCAAGAAACTGGTTCAGCTAGAAAGGTGAGTGATATGCAAACCACCGGTACAAGTGCAGAGGCAATTAATCCCGTGATAACTACACTCCACAGAACAGGCTGAAAGGCGTTATTAGGCCCATGGTCCGAAGGGAAAACCCTGGTCCTGAGAGGTTAAGTGGCATCATTTCCCAACAGTACTTGTGCAAAGAAACCATGCCTCAAAATTAGTTTGTCATGATTCTTTCTGCTAAACTAAAACTGAATAATTAGTTGCCAAACAGCTCCATGAGTCATCTTCAGTGATTACATTTAAATGATATAAAACAAAAATATGGACGGAATGCCCCATTTTTATAGGACACCGAGCTAGGTATTCAGGGAAGACTGGAACAAATACACAAACAAAAGAAGTAAAAGAAGCAGGGAGTGTATGTACCCTGAGAGAGCTTCCAATCAAGCTGGAAAGTCAGGGGCGGGTGCATCGTGTGGGTGGAGGGAGGACAGCGCTTGAAATCACGAGGCCAGGGTGCTTCCAGTTTGCTGCCACTGATCAGCTGCTGACCTTGGCACAAGGCCTCCCCCCCGGGACATCCGCTTCCCCATGGGTAGAATGAGAAGGCTGCACTGGAAGCTCGCTAAAGCTCAGGGACCTTAGAGCTGACACACAGGCCAGGAGGACTCACACCAGGCCTCTGACCCCATATGCTCCTTTCCGCCACCCTGTGTCGTCCCAGTGGCATGGCATGCTGACTCCACCCAAGCCTGGTTCAACCCGAGCCCCCTCCTTCCACAGCCCCCTTTCTTACCCAGCCCCGCAGCAGCTCGTAGGCCGTGATGCCCAGGGACCACCAGTCAACAGGGTATGAGTACCCGGGGCCTCCGTCCACATACACCTNAGCCCAGCTCCAGGTCGAGCTGTTGTTCAGCATCTTAGCTGTGGAGGGCAGTGTCACTGGCCCTCATATGTGGGATCTGAACTGGGGCCCTCTGGCGTCCCAAGCCAGTTCTTAACCATCGCGCCACTCAGCCGGCCCTCAGTTCTTCTTTTTAAACATCAGAAAACTGAAGCTGGGCGATGAAGAGTGGCTTTCCCCATGTCCCACAGACACTGCTCTTACCCCACCACGACCAGCGTCCCAGAATACGAGCTACAAACAAATGTGTAGACGTCCCTTATCATTTACACTTCATGCTCCACTTCCTTCTCGGTTACTTCAAGGCATTCATTAGTTCTGCTTGTCCACCAGACTTCCAGACGAGCCTCTCTCTAGCTCTCTGTAATTCCCTCCACTTCTGGAGGGAGCCGGTCCAATCAAAACAACAATGAGAACTGTAATAAGCCAGGAGGCCAATACAGCCGATAAATACACTGATATGTACATTTGGGACTCCATAACTAGAATAAGTTCAGCAGCTTTGGGCTCCACGCTCAGCCTTTGTCTGAGCGGTAGTAGGGAAACCCAGGTCCTTCGACATGAACACTGGCAGATAAAGATCGATATTCCGTCTGCTTGTGGCAAAGAACTCTATTGATGATTGTTTCTCACCCACAGGCCTCAGGATGTGTTGATTCAGAAACCAAGGGGAATTTATAAGCACATTACCATGTGCTCCTGGTAAAAGCGATTGTAACAGCAGGGCTCTGGATATACTCGTTATGGACTGGCAGGGGTGTCTCTATTCCAGGAAACTCCGTTTACAAAAACTGCCAATTTACCAAGAAATGGTAGAAAGAGGAGACTTGCCACAGGCCTGTTATTTGAACTGTTAGAGCTGAGCTGGGCCTTGGGACCATCTAATGCAAAGTTTTATCCCCACGATCTTTTTACTCAAAGCCCCAATCACAGAACACATGAAAGTGAAGACCAGTTCCTCAGGCTATTAAACCTCCAAAGCTTGGAGAAATGTCTCCCCTCTTCCCCCATGTACTGTTGAGTCACCTCTGCAGGGTCCAAGAGTTCCAGGAAACACAGCCTGAAAACCGCTCAACAGTCCAAGGTCTTTCCCCTCCCTCTACGGAGCTACAAAACCAAGAGGAGGAGACACAAAGTCCACTTCCTCCCAGCACTCAGGCTCCTGGCACAGTGCTGTCTCTGTTTGCTGTACCAAGGGACACGAAGACAGTGTTTAACCCAGGGATGGCCTGTCTCCTTCTGTCAGGTTAGCACAGCAGGACATTCCTTGGACATGCAGTTGAGCCCGCCCACCCAGCAGACACCCAGCGGGTCTTAGTTCTGCACTCCAGCCTCTAGGGGGAGCTCCATACACGCTTCCAATGCTAGTCACGGGCCTCTCTGCACCGCCACCCATCTCTGTCTCCCCAACCCCAAGGAGAAGTGCTGATTGGGGTTAAAGGCAAGGGTAACACCAGGTCAGGGGGGTGGTGGATGGAAGCAGAGAGGGCAGTGGTCCTCAGCGTGCCTTAGTAGTGGCTTTTCGGGCTCCACTCATGTCTGTGTGGAGAGCCCACGCTATGCAAAGCAATGTGCCAACAGCCTGACATCCAGGATCTCTTTATCCTCCTGATTACTCTACGGCAGTGGTTCTCAACTGGGGACAATTTGTCCCCCAGGGGACATTCGGCAATGTTTGGAGAGACTTTTGGTTGTCATAACTGGGTGGGGGAGATTTCTGCTGGCATCTAGTGGGCAGAGGCCGGAGATGCTGCTAAACACTCTACAAAGCACAGGACAGCTCCCAGCACAAAGAATCCTGGCCCCAGATGTCCAGAATACAGAGGTGAGGAATCCTGAGTTCTGGGTCTGCAAACTACTACCCCCCACACACACACTTAGACAAGAAACGGGCTCACCCCAGATCATTCAGAGGCTGTGCTAAAAAGCTAGGATTTGAGCCTTGAAACGTGACCCCAAAATACAGACTCGCACTTAGCCACCGTGCTGCTGTGACCACGGATGGCACGGCCCTGCCTACAGAGTGAAGCCAAGTGCCCTCGGCTGGCCTCAGGAGCCTTTACTGACCGTCCCCAACAGCCCTTCTGATTGGTGGTCAGGCTGAGATGTTTGTTGGATCATCTCAGCTGCCCTTCCCTATCTGTGCTCACACTGTTCCCTCCAGCAATTCATGTACACCCAGCTTAAATGC